CCCCCCCCCCCCCCCCCCCCCAGTTTTTCTAGCTTCAGTGCTATTTAAAGGCTTACCACAGTCTTCTGGGAACTACAACTAAAGCTAAATCCAATTTTTAAAAGCTCTAAAAGTGAAATTGACCACAGATAACTGTATAGTGTTCACCTTGGTCCAGGCCTTGTCAATGACAGACTTCTTCTCAATAAAGTAGCTCTTGATTCTCTCTCCTCCATCAGTATCGGGAAGTTTCCAGATCAGCCTCATGGTTGAACGAGTAACGTCAGTGACCTTCAGGTCCTTTGGAGGTCCGGGAACATCTGAAGACAGAAATAAAGGTTAGACATTGATGATGCCAACATACCAACACTGACCAAGCTTGAGACATCCAGATGTTTCACTGACCAACAACAATGACTCTAACGTTGACATGTTTTTGTCCTGACTTGTTCTTAGCGGTGATAGTGTAACGTCCAGAATGGCTCCTCAGGCTGACGGGGATGTGCACCACGGATGTGGTGTCTGTGGACTCAACCTGAACACAAAAAACCTGAGCATGTAGGACCTCTGAGGAAGACAGTTCTGTGTTTAAATGGAAAATGCGGTGATGATTGGGGTTGTTGCAGTGAAGTTCTTACCTCAGCCTCCACTGGCAGTATGTGCAGCTTGTTCTTTTTCTGTGTTTTGGCTTTGCCTTCAAAGTCCCAGGTAACCTTGGGAGCAGGTCGGCCTTTGATGGTGGCAGGTATCCTGATAGGATCTCCGGCGCGAATATTCACCAGGTCATCAGCCAGTACATCGATTGTGATGAAAGGTGGAACTGCTCAGAGAAGAGAAGAGTGAAGGGTCAAGATAAAGGCACCAGTATCCATTTATGACAACGAAGAGTCAGACATACGTTGAACATCTTCAACCAGAACTTCGCTGGTGCGGGGGCTGGGGTCCGACTCTCCGATGTCATTGACAGCAATGATTCTGAAGCGGTAGCGTTTCAGCTCGCGGAGGCTGGGCACAGTAAACTCTGTGGTGGGGATTAGGCTGTCAATATCATTCAGCTTGTGCCATTCTGATGAGCCCTCATCCTGGATCTGGACGATGTAGCCCTTGATGGGGCTTCCTCCATCGCTCTCAGGTGGTTTCCAGGTCAGAGTGACACTGTACTTGGTCTTATCAGCAACCACAGGGGCAGCAGGCATGCTGGGAGGAGCTGAAAGGCAAGCAGCCGTTCACATTTTAGAGAACTTGTATGAATTGTGTCTCTGAGCTTTCTCTAATGATTTACTCACTGATGGGATCAACAGCGAAGGCAGAGTCAGAAGGGCCACTGAAGGGTCCGGTTCCAGCTGAATTACAGGCTGCAACCCTGAACTCATACTCAGTTCCCTCAAAGAGACGAGTCACCTGAATGACACAGAGAAGAAGGGATCTGTTTGGTGTTTGTTCTCTTTAAAATAAAGCTGCATGCATGGATTAAAAAAGAACTCCCTGCCATATCTCACTGTGCATTTTTAAGCTGTACAATGGGATTATTTTTAAAAGTTCATAAACTTTCTAAAACATAGTGAGCGATATTTAAAAATTTGTTGTCCATAAGAATTCAAGTAGACCCTAAGTTTTCTTTAGAGGAATGATCCAGACACGTTGTCTTTATTCTGAGATACTTCGTTGGTATGAAGGAGTTTGAGCCCAAGAACTGCACACACCAGTGCAGAACTTTGTTTTTGCACCAGCAGCTTACCTGATACTCCCAGCCTTTCGTGCCCCTTTTAGTTACTGGCATCTTATTGACTTTAGCCCAGTAAGTTGTGCCTTTCTCTCGTTTCTCCAGCCAGTAGCCGATGATCTTTGAACCTCCGGTCTCTCTGGGAGGCTCCCAGGTTAGTGTCATGGAGGTTTTGGAGTACTCTGCAATAGTTGGTTTCTCTGGTGGACCAGGAAGGCCAAAGGGGTCTGTGATGAGAACCTCCTCTGTTGTACAGGGATCAGATTTACCATAGCGGTTCTCTGCTTTTACTCGAAACAGGTAGGTCTTATTGGTCTCCAGGTTCCATACCTGTAAAGGAGCGACTGTTAATCCTAAAATCATACATACCTGAGACATATTTGTTTGAGACTGTGTCAAAACAAACCCCGTATTTCCTTTCAATGACACTGCTGTTGACCTCCTCCCACTGCGGCTCAGGTGGAGCCTCCTCTCCCTCCTCCAGCTCAGGCTGATCTTTGACCACTTCCTTTCTTTCAACAATATAGTTGGTCAGCTCGCTGCCACCATCGTCAGTGGGTGGGTCCCAGTTCAGGTAGCAGGACTCTGCCCTGATGTTGGACACAGTCAGATGTCTGGGTGGAGTTGGTCGGTCTGAAAAGACAACAAAGACCAGTCAGGACACAAACAGTCCATATTAAATTAAATCAAGTAGCATGTCGGTGATGATTTACTAACCCAGAACCATGACAAAGATGGTGTGCTTAGCAGAGCCCATGTTGTTGGAGGCTGACACCATGTAGCTGCCCCGGTCCCTCCTGTTGGTAGCTGGGATAGATAGCATGGTCTTGGCGTTCAGTCTGCCGGTAACCTCCGTCTCAATTAGAAGGGTCTCAGTGGACTTCGGAATCACCACGTCATCCTTGGACCACTCAATCTTTGGGATGGGTAGTCCGATGATGTCAGCAGGAATCTCAACAGGCTCACCCTTCTTTACGGTGATGCAATCTGCCTTAAAGTGCTTCAGCATGTGGACCTCAGGAGCCACTAAGAAAACAGGGCCAAAACAGAAGAGAAAAAAAAAAAATCAGCACAAAATAAAAACATATCAACATCCACTTGACTTATTTAAAGAAACATTAGCCTTGGTTCACTGGAAGAGTATCTGGCCTCACCTTCATCATCTTGGATAACCACTGTCAGAGGGATGGATGGCTCACTCTCACCAAGCAGATTGGTACATTTGATTCTGAATTCATACATCCAGGCCTCTTCCAGGCCCTCCACAGTCAGAGTCATGTTGGGGCAGATCTCGGTGTTGCAGGGCTCAAAGGCCTGCTGGTCCTGTCTCTTCTTTTCAACAAAGTACCCAATAACAGGGCTGCCACCATCGTTACGAGGTGGCTTCCAGGCCAGTGTGATGGAGTTCTTAGTGCGTTCCGTATAATGGAACTTTTCAGGATATGATGGTGGACCTGTAGAATCACCATACAATTATTTTCAGATAGTTTTGTGCTTAGTTCTTGGTCTCCTAAAAATAAAGTAATTCATCACTCACCCTGTGGGTCTACAGCCTTGATTGGTCCCAGTTCCACAGGTTCACCCAGACCATACTTGTTCTTGGCAATGACTCTGAAGAAGTATTCTTGTCCTTCCATGATACCCACACACTCACATTTGGATGAGGCGGTCTCAACGGGCTGTCTCCATGTGTGCATCTTGACATCTCTCCGTTCCACAAGGAAGCCCGTTATATCACTGCCCCCGTCGTCTACAGGGTCGTCCCAGTTTAGGAAGATCATCTTACGAGTAACAACAACTGGCTTCAGATCTGTGACAGGTCCAGGGACATCTAAAATATAAAGCAGCATTTTAGTGTGTTAAACATAAGATTAGGTTCTGAGAATGTACCTGTACTTTCACATACCCATCACATCCACTCTGGTCCAGGCTAACTTAGAGCCACTGGGGTTGCAAGCAGCGATCTGATATTTTCCACAGTCCTTCCTCTGGACATTCTTGATGGAGACTATGCTGTTGTTGCCCTCACTGAGGATCTCCACACGGTCTTTGTCAGGTTTACCATCATCCTTGGTCCAAGTGATGGCTGGGTAAGGTTTACCTGTGACAGTAGCAGGTACAAGGAGTGTTTCCCCAGCTCTGATGATGACTCCGTTCTTCACAGACAGGTCCAGTTCAATCACTGGCATTTCTGTGGGGTGAAATCAGAGACCATTAAATTATTTATAAATTATCTAAAACAAAAATAACAATTGCTCAAACTGAAAAGCAGTTCAGTGTTTTAGCTGACCTGCTGGATTTCGGACAAACACAGCCTCTGTGAATCCAGGTGTTCCTTCTCCTGCAGCATTGCAAGCAATGACTCTGACAGTGTACTTGGCTCCCTCACGGACTCCATACACAGTAAAGGCCCGGTTTTTCCAGGGGCGTTCCGTAGATCTGGACCAGTCCTTGGTATTAGCCATTGCCTGAAGAGCCAAACAATCAGTCTAAAATTAATTAATTAATTGCAATTTAATGAGTAAAAATAATTTATAAGTCAAAAACCTGCAGCTACAACAGATACCTGAAACAACAATAATATAAAGTTAACAAGCTATAGGAAGTCACTTGGGGCCCTGACCTTGTCCACATGGTATCCCAGGATCTCCCCTCCACCATTATCAACAGGAGGGTCCCACTCCACTTCAATTGAGTGGTCCGTGGTTGCTGCAATCCGGGCGATGGGAGGTCCAGGAGGCACTGAGAGGTCAAAAATAAACAGGTTCACTTGGTAACTGTTTCCCTAGAAGATAATTTTAACTACAAAATTTTAATGGACTGTGACATGATGGATCCAGTATTTAGTAGGGTTTACGTACAGATGGGAGCTTGGGCAGTTTTGGGTTCAGATGGAACACTAAACTTTCCAGGTCCAGCCTGATTTTCAGCTGCCACCCTAAAGATATAAGTCAGTCCCTCCAGCAACCCTTCAACATTCAGCTGAGTGTCTGGGACGATATTCCTGAAGGCCAGACAGAAGGACACATTAATATTATCCACTAGCATGACTGAAAACAGATATCTATACAAAAATAAAAGATATAAAGTGATTTCAAACCTGTTGACACGCGCCCAGTGGGAGCTGTTGATCTCCCGGCGCTCCACCCAGTATCCCAGGATGGGGCTGCCATTGTCGTTTGGTTCATTCCACGTGACCAGCATGCTGTTGGCTGTGATGTCATCAATCTGTGGCTTATCGGGAACCTCAGGAGGTTCTGAGGACAATGAGGTGGGATGGTAAAACACTTGAGTGTGTAGTAGTGTTTTTTCCACACAGATGCTTCCAAACACAAACAATTTTAATTCATAAATATGTCAGTATGAACACACCGAAAGGGTTCTTGGCGATTAGAGGCTTGGAGAGGCAGGGAAGACCAGGACCAAACTTGTTCTCTGCCACAACCCTGAAGATGTACTCCTTCTTCTCGATGAGTTTGGGCACCAGGTAGCGGCACCCTATCAGGGTGGAGGTGACAGAGCTCCAGCCAAACTCCAGCTTAGAGTTGTCCTTCTTCTCCAGGGTGTAGTTGATGATCTCACTTCCACCGTCATCCAGAGGAGGATCCCACTTGCAGATAACAGAGTTCTTCCTCACCTCCTCAAACTTGAAGTTCACAGGAGGACCAGGAGTATCTGCAGACATGATTGATCTGAACTTTAGCTTCAGATAAAGTGTGCACCTCTACAGACAGCTTTCAGTTTACCAACAAACTAAGACTCCAGGTTCTGAAACGGGCTGAGGCCTGTGCACATAACTGGAGGAATATATTGGAATGTAAACTTACCGAGCACGTTAACCTCGCATGTTGCAGAGGCAGTACCGTGGTCGTTCTCCACCTTCACCATGTAGACGCCGTGATCACGGCGGAGGGAGTCTACAATGAGGATGGAGGACATGCCCCTTCGGCTGTTGTTGATGGTCAATCGTTCATTGATGGTTGGATAGTCGATCTCTTCTACCTCTTCTGTTTCCTCCTCTGGCTTCTTCTCCTCCTCTCCTTCTTTCTTCTCCTCTCCTTCTTTCTTTTCCTCTCCCTCCTTCACCTCACCCTCCTTCTTCTCTTCTGCTACTCCCTCGGTCTTCTTTTCCTCCTCCTTTATTTCCTCTTTCTTCTCCTCTTCCTTCTTTTCAACCTTTTTCTTGAGGGGTTTTTCCGGTCTCTTGCGGAGTGGTTCAGGCTGGATCTCCTGGTTGTTCCAGTACCAGGTGATCTGAGGGTACGGCGAACCAGAGATGTTGGCGTCCAGGCAGATCTCACAACCTCGCTTCACGCTGAGACCAGACTGCAGACTGCCGCTTAGGAAAACCTTTGGAGGATCTGAAAGAGGTGGAGGAAATCGAACAAAGTGAACAGAGGAACAATGCTTCTGATCCATGTGAATACTTTTTGACATTTCTCCTTACCAACAGCATCTGAGGCCTTTACAAAGAGCGTGTTGCGTGACGGCTCACTGATGCCGGCAGCGTTCTCAGCTTTGACTCGGAACATGTAGTTCTTGCCTTCAGTCAGTCCTCTGATGGTGTAGGAAAGGACGGGCACCAGGAAGTCATTGCACCTCTCCCACTTGTCCTCACCCTTCTGCTGTTTCTCCAGAATGTAGCCCATGATCTTGGCACCACCATCGTACATTGGAGGCTTCCAGGTCAGGGTGATTGTGCTGGATGTAGGATTGTGGGTTTCCACATCCACTGGAGGGTCAGGAGCATCTGGGAAAGAAGGCGAGGATTTGGTTTTCAGTATTGAAACACGTCAGGTTGTGTAGATTCTCAGTTATTCAGGACATAATGATCACAAGTTGTTGAAAAAGAGGTAGCTGTTGTTTGTATAAAGTAAGTAAAAGATGTCCCAACAGTCAGCTAAAACTGCTAAATCAATTCAGATCACCAGAGTTAAAAGGTTAAAAAACTATATTCAGGTATTTAGAACTTCAATAAGTTCTTTGTGCTTTGGAGGTTTTCTGGGCATTTCCCACACGGAAGAGATCTCCCTGGAACATCCTGGAGACACTATATTTCCTGTCTGGCATGGGATTGCCTTGGGATCCTTTAAAAGGAGCTTGAGAGTGTCACCAGGGAGAAAGGTCTGGGTTTCCCTTCTGGACCTGAGGTTTCTGTGACCCCGCCATAGATAAGCAATAGAAGATAAATGGATAGAACTTCAAAAACCCTTGATCCAAGGTTTCCCACATTGCTACATATTGTTACCTCCACACATGAGCTTTCAGATATAGACTGAGCTTTAAACATCGAAATACTGCTTTTATGAATTACTACATAGTTTATTTTCTTACGTTTTTGGTCCTCAGCAATGACTGGGTTGCGCAGCTCAACAAACTCTCCTCCTCCGATCTTGTTGACTGCCTGGACTCTGAAGTAGTACTCTCCATTGGGGATGAGGTCCTTCACAGTCCAGCTCACCTTGTTCTCTCCAGACATCATATTGACATATGTCCTCCTTCCAGCCTCACGGCGCTGTACACCAACAGAAACATTAGCGTCAGAAACAGTAAAGTGTCTGAAACTGAAAATACAATCCTGATGTAATCTCAGACCTGCAGGACGTAGTGAAGAATCGGGCTACCACCGTCATAGTCTGGAGGATCCCAGGACACTTTACAGGAGCTCTTTGTGATTTCAGAAGCCACAATCTCCTTGCAGGGACCAGGTAGTCCTGAAGATACAAAAACATGTTAAAGACTAATCCACGCTTAGAAGACAGTGTCTGATTAGAGGCTTAAAGTGTGTGATTGGTTACCAATGACTTTAACGTTGATGGTGGCACTGGCACTTCCCAGTTTGTTCTCCAAAGTCACTTTATAAACTCCAGCATCAGGATGAACGCTGCTGTCAATCTCCAGGTGACAGGAAGTGTACTCCTTCCTGCTGGGCACAAACAATCCCATCAACCCACACTGCAAACATTTTCATCAATCCCCAGTTTGTAGAAAGCTCATCTGGACTCCTAAGTGAGCCAAGCCTGTTTTTGATAATGGATCAATGAATAGTATACATTTCTCTGACCTGAACCCAATACGTTCATCGGCCTTCAGTTCCTTTCCATCTTTATGCCAGGTGATTTTGGGTGAGGGTACGGCTCTGAAGGGAACTGGAATGTGAAGTTTCTCTGTTTCCACAACAATTAGGTCCAGAGTCTGGAAGTCCAGAGTAGGATTACCTGAAGTCACACAAAAGAAAATGTTACATGTGCACCTTTTTTTCCTGCAAAGTAAACTTGATTATTTGTGCTCTTACAGTCTGAGTCCTTGGCAAACACGTTCTCTGAGATATCGGAGGGTTCGCTCTCTCCAACAGCATTGATGGCCCTCACTCTCAGGATGTACTCCTTCTCAGGGACCACGCTCTCTTCTACGCGGTACTTCAGTTCCTTCACTGGACGGGAGTTGACCCTCATCCACTTCTCGGTTCCAGCCTCGCACATCTCAATGTGGTATCCACGTATAGGAGAGCCGCCATCCTGTTGTGGAGGCTTCCAGGCGATGGACAGGAAGTCCCGGCTTGCCCCAGTCACATGGAGTTCAACAGGTGGAGATGGGATGCCTGGAGGGTACAGAACAGACAGGTTTAGATTCAGTTCTGTGTTTAAAATGATTCACAAATCATTATCAGGCTAACCTGTTGGATCTTCAACAGTGATGATCTCAGTAGGTTCACTTGGGTGTCCAACACCAGCCTCGTTCTCAGCACAGACCTGGAACTGAACCTCAGTTCCCTCGATGACATCTGTTACTCTGTACTTACAGTCCGGACCTGAAGTCTTGCCACATTTCACCCAACGTGTTCCAAGTTTCTCCTTCTTCTCAATGGAGTATCTGGAAGGAGGAGGCACCATAAAATAAACATTCCAAAGAAATAACTTTTCTTAATATGGAAGGTATTTTTTCTATATTTACATTTGTAATTTAAAAAGGCATTAGACAATGAGAAATAAAATTTATAGAGGAGAGTAATAAAAACCAGCACCTGATTATGGGTCTTCCACCATCATTCTTAGGGCTCTCCCATTCCAGGTCCACATATTTTTTGGTCACTGCGTTGACAGTGAGTGCGTAAGGCGGCCCAGGAGTTGCTGGAAAAACACAACTTATTAATATTCTGATGCATGCTCAATAATCAAGGCAGAAAAATCCAAAAAAGTTAAATCTGGTCCTCTGGACATTGATAAAAAAATATAAAGCAAAACAACAACAAAAAATGTAGAAACGGGGGCGGAGGCCTCCGTGTTCAACTGTCCCCCTCTTACAATGCTGTTATTGCTAGTATCACTCAACCCCCTGTGAATAGTAAACAGCCATCAGTGTGCTAATGATCCATTGTTAGGCTGATGGTCCTTCTTGATCATGTGAGCAGCTGGTTTTGGTTGTCAGCAGCAAAACTGGTTGATCCACTCTGAGAAGGTGCTATTTATCAGACTGAGCTGAATACAGCACCTCAGACTGAGGAAGTCTCTCGGATGAGAGACGAAACGTTTCTACATTTTTTTGTTGTTTTGCGTTGGTTTTTTTTTAATGTCCAGAGGATCAGATTTAACTTTTTTGGACAACTTATTACTGTTTTACTGCAACCATCAGGTACCATTTCATTCAAACATGCCTCTCCAACTTACTGAAAGTATCTTTGGCCAGCACGGAGTCCTCCAGCTCACAGAATGGTCCAATGCCCACAGCGTTCTCTGCAGCAACGCGGAACACATAAAGCGACCCATCATTCAGCGGCGTCACGGTGGACTTTAGCTCTTTGACAGTGGTGTCCACAGTCTGCCAGCCTTTACGCCTGACGTCACGCTTCTCCACCACATAGTTAGTGACTTTGGACCCTCCATCACGTTCAGGAGCCGTCCACTTCAGCTCAGCACTGGTCCTGCTGATGCTCACGACCTCCAACCAGCGAGGAGCCGACGGAGGGTCTGATAAGGTTTAGACAGAAATCTGTTGAGGTCATTTATTCAAATCTGTGTCATCCTTTCACAATCATTAGCTTGTACTGGGTTTTTAGTCATTTGTTCCATTATCATGGGTCTCCACAGTGAGTCATCCTCTTCCATCTCCCTCTGTCCTCTGTCCTCACTCCAACTACGTCCATGTCCTCTCTAATTGCATCCTTAAATCTCCTCTTTGTATTTTTCCTGGTAGCTGCATTTCTAAAAATCCTACTACCAATATACCCACTGTACCTCCTCTGCACATGTCCAAACCATCTCAATCTGTCCTCTTTAACATTACCTCCTAGTCCTTTAACCTAAGCTGTACCTCTGATGATGTAATTCCCAACTGTCCTGATCTTGTAAACCTTTCCTTTGCTGCCACTGTTTGGTCAGAAATCACTCCTGAAACTTTTCTCCATCCACTCCATCCTGCCTGAACTCTCTTCTTCAACTCTTTACCACATTCCCCGTTTTCCTGGACAATCAGTACTTGAAGTCCTGCACATTTGTGAACTCTGCTTCTTGTAGCCTCACTGTTCCACTTGCCTCCCTCTCTTTCACACAAAGGGACTCATCTTATTACAGTTGACTTTCAATCCTCTTCTTTTAAACACATACCGCCACCTCCCTATTGCAGCTTTGCCATTGGTAAGTGTGGCTCCACTCGGCTCTCCTCCTCTCAGTTCTTCTCAGGTGGAGGTGATTTGTCACTGCAATGGAGGCTGACCTGTTTCCTTGCTTTGTGGGCAGGATCGTCCTTAGCTACCTCCCTCTTTGCTCCATGTTGCATCTCGTTATAATCTTGTCTCCTCTCTTCAGTCCTCTCACTGTTATTTCATATTGGCTAAGCTCTTTCTATGAATTCCCTCCTTTAACGATAATGGTATTTGTAATAAATGTAGTCTCTGCTACGCACTGGTGAAAAATCAATAGCAAGCCGGGTCAACCTTAGGGAGTGTGGAGCCACTGAGACTAGCTCCTGTTAGCGGTCCTTCAGCAGATCTCGAGCAGCTGGACCCCAGGCCGGCTGGTTGATGGTCTGGAGTAAGCGTAGTGCTAAGCCTAAGCCCCCAGTTCACCACCAACAGGTTATGTTTCCAATCAGTTTTCCTCACTCAGTGACACCCGCTGAGGAGCAGACCCTGGTTATTGGCAGCTCCATAGTCCAAAAAAGTGGCACTAGGGACTCCAGCAATCACAGTCAAATGCATTCTGGGGGCCAGAGCAGGCGACATTGAAGCGTCCCTGAAACTGCTGACTAAGGTTAAAGCTAAATACAGTAAAACTTATTCATGTCGATGGTAATGACACCCGGTTACGCCAATCGGAGTTCATTAAAATGAATGTTGCTTCGGTGTGTGACTTTGCACAAACTATGTCAGAATCTGGAGTTTTCTCTGGTCCCCTCCCCAACCTGACCAGTGACAATATGTTTAGTCATATGTCATCATTCAACCGCTGGCTGTCCAGGTGGTGTCCTCAAAACAATGTGGGCTACATAGATAACTGGAGTGCTTTTTGGAGAAAACCTGGTCTGATGCAGAGAGATGGCATCCATCCCACTTTGGGTGGAGCCACTCTTCTTTCTAGAAATTTGAAGGTTAAAGGCTATTAAATTAGCCTCTAATAATTTAATAGCGTCAATTGGTTTTACCCAAAATGTCCACACATCTACTCATTTTCATCATCAAACTCTTGATCTGTTGATTCTTACATATGGCATAGAAATTAATTAATACACCCTCACGATCCTGTTCTGTCTGACCATTTTTAATCACCTTTGAGTTTACATTAACTGACTACACAGCCACTGAGAGTAAATTTCATTATAGTGTTTATCAGAGAACGCTGTAACCAAATTTAAAGAATCTTCCATTGTTGTTTTCATCTGTCTTGCAGAGTAACGCAACAGAGAGCAGTGACGTAGATGATCTGGTTGATAATTTTTAACAATCATCTTGAAGCTCTTTATTACCACTCAGAGCCTTTAACAGCTGCTTTCTAAATTTATCATAACATTATTCCTTCCACAGCTTCCACCATTTTCTCTTCTTCACAACAACAGTCATTTTACACACAACCATCTGATGCTGTCTGGCCACTCTCTCCTCCCTGGGAATACTCTCTTATCACTTCATCCAGATCCTTCCAAAATTTCTCTTTTACCTGTACTCTTTTGTTAAGGGTTAGTAATTGACTAACGGTGTCATTTTTTTCTTACTCAGTCTCTCTTTGCAAAGCACTGGATCGCTGGGCTCACTGGGTTCACTCTCTCCGGCCACGTTAACGGCTCTCACTCTGAATGAGTACTCCTGCTTCTCCATCAAGCCCTTCAGGAAATACTCCAAGAAGCTGATGTTCTCTGCCACACGAATCCAGTCCGTTGTTCCACTCTTCAACATCTCAATGACGTAGCTGTCGATCTTTGCTCCACCGTCATGCTCGGGTTTGGTCCACATCAGGAAGCAGGAAGTCTTAGCTACATCCTTCACTGTGGGTTTACCTGGAGGCCATGGAGGATCTGGAGGAGGAGCAACAGTGACTGTGTTAACATTTGGATAATCCTCAAATGCAAATTGATAAAATAATAAAAAATATGTACCGATTGGATCCTTAACGAGGATTGGATCGGTTTCTTGGCTGGGTTTTCCAGTTCCAGCCAGATTCTCAGCCAAAACTCTGAACTTATACTTCTTTCTGGTGGGAAGGCCTTTGACTCTACAGAGAAAATATAACGTCACTACAATAAAAACCTTCAGAACTTTACTTCATTCAGACAGCTGGACTCACCTGTAGTTGGTATCTTTGATAGGCAGTTTGTTGCATCGGATCCACCTATCGTGGTCCGGTTCATATCTCTCCACCCAGTATCCTGTGATGGGGCTTCCTCCATCCTCTTCCGGCTCATACCAGCTCAGAGTCAGAGAGTCCTTGGCAATGTCTGAAGGCTCCAGCTTATATGGAGCTCCAGGAGTGTCTAAGGATTATTTGAGAAACATCAAATTGAACCCAACAAAAATTTATTATTTGATTATACAGAGTTTAAAAACTATGTTGTGAAGTCATGTGACCTACCAAAGGGATATCTGGCAATGATGGATGGGTGTTCAGCAGGGGGACCAACACCAAACTGGTTCTCAGCAAACACTCTGAAGATGTACTCCTTGAACTTGACCAGACCCACAGGTTTGTATGTGGTCTGCTTCACTGTGGAGGACAGACGGTGCCAGATCTCGCTGTCGGCAGCCCGACGCTCTACAATGTAGTTGGTGACCTTGGAGCCACCATCATCACGTGGAGGATTCCAAGCCAAGAAACAGGTTTCATTGGTGATATCAGAAATGTCAAAAGCAGCAGGAGGACCAGGTTTATCTGTTTTTCAGTTTAAAAAAGTAAATTTATTATAACATGGACTAAAGAAAGTCTTAATATTTTTGCTGCTGAACAACTGTCTTACCAAGGATGTTGACATCCACAGTGGCGGTGGCACGGCCACTGCTGTTGGTAGCCTCAATGATGTAAGTGGAGCTGTCGTCTCTCTTGGTCTTGGCAACAGTAACAGTGGAGTGCCCTGGTTTGGTGTCAATGGACACCCTGTCGTCTGGTTTGAGGACCAGGTCAGCTTTAGTCCACTTCACTCGAGGTTCTGGTTTACCAGTCACCTCAGCGGGAAGTTCGATCTTGCTGCCGGCTTTGGCAGTCAGACCAGCCAGCAGCTTGGCATCCAGGTGGATCTGTGGAGACTCTGTGGAGGAAAAACTCAGTCAGAAACTAGTACTTCAGAAGATATTTTAAAAAGAAGGTCTACTCCAAGGATAAATTTCCCAATTTTAAGAAACCCTTGGACTGGTTCTAATGTTAAAGAAGATACAAGAAAATAATACAGCTAACCTTTGGGATCCACAGCTTGAATCTCATCAGTGGCCTTACAGGGCCGACTGGCTCCAAGTCGGTTCAGGGCTCTGACTCTGTATGCGTACCACTGGCCTTCAATCAGACCAGTCACCTCGCATTTCAGCTCAGGTACCATGTCTCCGCAGGGCTCCCACTTATCTGTTCCTCTCTGGCAACGTTCCACATTATAGCCTCGGATGCCAGTGCCGCCATCATACTTGGGTGGCTCCCAAGTTAGGAATATGCCACTGGCGGACTTGTCTCTCCACCTCAGATTCTCTGGAGGGTCTGGGACAGCTGGGGGAGGTGAGACATCCAGGTTAGCAAGGTCCTCTGAACTCTAACTGAAGAGTGGTCCAGATTTAGAGCCAAACACTACTGAATACCGAATATATTCCCGACTACAGCTTTGATAAATAGTTAGATACATCCGTTCTCCCTCTGAGAGAATCATACTGTTTATTTTAAGTGGTTAATTATTTACTGTATGGAAGTTTTTCTGACTTACTGGCTGGAGAGGAGACATTGACAGGCTCGTCAATATACGCTGGTTCTCCTGGGCCACACTTGTTGAGCGCAGTGACTCTGAACAGATACTCCTTTCCCTCAACCACATCAGTGACAGTGAACTCCTGATCCTGGATCCCTGTGACAACCTGATATACAATTTGACTTCATTATCATCAGCCCACAGATTTGTTACCTTTGTAGAACTTACGAAAAGCACATGTTGGAAGTTCATTTACATCCTTACTATATTTTAAATGTCATCATACCTTGACCCAGGTCTTGCGGGACACGTCTCGCTTCTCCACCTGATATCCGGTCAGAGGACTTCCTCCATCATGCTCTGGAGCCTCCCAGCTCAGATGGACGTGCTGTCGGGTCACCTCCAGGACCTTAAAGTCCTTTGGAGCGCTGGGTGCAGCTGCAGACACAAACAGAAACATTGATACCTTCGAAGAAAGAAACTACAGAACTTTGGTCCAGTTATGTCATTTCTTTCTGGCGTACCAATGACGTTGACTTCAATCTCTCCGGAGACAGTGGTGACATCGTTCTCCAGCTGCAGGGTGTATATGCCTTTGTCGGGTCGGACACTCGGAGCAATGCTCAGTTCTGTGAATGTTGACTTAGTCATCAAGGAGACACGCTCATCTGCGGTGGTCAACTCCTTCTCTCCGAAGGTCCACTTTGCGACAGGTGTTGGATAACCAGAGATGGGGACTCTGATAACGAGAGACTGAGGGACGATCACCTCGAGGCCATCTTTGAAAGCGCTCAGATCAAAGGTTGGACCGACTGGAAGAGGTGAAGACATAAGATGTGGGACAAATTCAGCATGCGCCTTTATATTATTCTGAGCTGTATGTCCAGCTCCTGCAGTTGAGCATTTTAGCAAGATTCTTACTGTGTGGGTCGTCAGCCAGCAGAGGTCCAATGGTGTTGGACGGGTCCGAAATGCCAGCAGCGTTTTCAGCAAATACTCTGTAGTTGTACTTAGTTCCATATTTCAGACCAGATACCTGCAGGAAAACAGGGGTTAAAAACAAATCATCTGGAAACAAGTACTCAAAAAAACGAGATCTCTACAAATATGTAATTTAAAACGGAGTCATCTGAAAACGAGTCATCTGGAACAAGTCATTTCAAAAGGAGTCATTTGAAAACAAGTAATCTGAAAATGAGTTATCTGAACCAAGTCATCTGAACCTTGTAGAAGAGGTCGGGGCAGAGGCGGGCGTTGCAGCGGAGCCACTTGTCTGTGCCATCTTCGCAGCGTTCGATGATGTATCCGGTAATCATGCTGCCTCCGTTCTTCAGAGGAGTCTCCCAGCTGAGCTGCACCGAGTTCTTGTTCTGGTCCTGCCAGGACAGGTTCAGAGGTGGACTGGGGCGCTCTGTGAGGTGACAGAACCAGAACCACACATATTAGAGAGGGACACAAGAAAAATTGTAGGTGGAATGTTAGACCATCACGTTGCTGTAAACATTTCATCATTAAGAATATTAAAGTTAAATTAAAGCTAAAAGTACTTTAAAAAGTACTATGGTTTATTTTAGTCAGTCATTATCTGACTCTAAAGTATCGTGGTTCGGTGTGCTGGTACTTACCAATGGGATCCATAATCTTAACAGGTTGTGAGGCAGCGCTGGGCTTGCCCTCACCAGCTTTGTTCTCAGCTTTGACCCTGAAGATGTACTCTTTGTTCTCAATGACGTCATTGATGATGGCGCTGAGCTCATCAGCTTTGGTCACCTGGACAGGTGACCACTTCACGGACGTCCTGTCGCGCAGCTCCACAATGTACGAGGTGATGGGAGAGCCTCCGTCAGACTCAGGAGGCTCCCAGGAGACGGTGCACCCAAACTTGGTGACATTCCCCACGATGAGGTTCATGGGAGCATCAGGAACGTCTGAAGAATAAAAGACAGAAGGTAGACGGCCTAATTTAAAGCTGCTCCACTGAGATACAGTTCTTCAAACAATGGACCAGACTTTAATCAGTAGAATTAAAGGCCAAAGAACATTCATTGCATGAGAATCCTACCAAATTTGTTCTTGGCTTGCACAGCTTTGTCGGTCTCAACAAGGGGTCCACTGCCAACCCGGTTCCGTGCACAGACTCTAAACAGGTAAAAGCAGTCCTTCTGCAGCCCGGTCACTGTGTACTCTGTGCTTTCGGCATGGTCGGTGGCCAGAGTCCATGTCTTGCGCTTCTCGTCACGTCTCTCCACGACATATTCAATTACTTTACTGCCGCCGTCATACTCTGGTTCCTCCCACGCCAAACTGACCTCACCGTCAGCGGTGTCAACCACCTGCAGGTTCTTCACAGGTCCAGGTACATCTGAGAAAAAGAGTTAATAAGGAAAAGGACTGAGCAAAGACTGAGGACAGGTGTACAATAACTACCTCAAAGACTAGAAATACTTCTTATTTTTGTTGATGTGTAGGATCTATACATGGATCCAGGATCTTATCATTCAGACTTTAATTCGCATTAAAGTTTAATTTTTTAATACATTTACTTCTTTTTTTAATCTAGGCTTGATAATCTATCTTCAGTAACTTATTCCATTTCCAAAGTATAAAAAAATCACAATCTCTTGTATCGTTAGACCCTCAACTTATATCTGAAATTCAACCGATGAGCAAAACATTTCGAGCGTTTTAATGTTTTCAACAAATTTTGATCTAAAAGGATTTGTTGTAGCTCATTTCCCAGAATTTTGACCCTGCTGGCTCTTTTTCTATTTTACAACATAAAATGTGTTTTGCTGCAAGTCAGATTGATCCTAATAGGGTTAAAAAAAGCACCAACCAAAGTTTAATTTACCTTTAGTTTGATGAACCTCAGGGCTCATTTAGTCATTCAGATATTTATTATGAGTCAAGTTTCAGATCTGGTTATCTTGCTGAGATGGTCTTTCTGATCAAACCCTGTAGTCCAGGTAGACTGGTCTTTGCCATGTTACAGGTTAGCTGCTGTCAGACAACCGTTAACAGAAAACTCACCGATGACACTCAAGTTGATGAAAGCTTCTCCTTCTCCGTGTTTGTTTTTGATCGTGATCTTGTAACGGCCTTCGTCGGACTTCCTTGGGTCCTTGAGTCGGTATTCGGTGCGCTCTGCGGAGGTGTGGATCTGGTCTTTGGACAGACTCTGGTTGTCATAGAGCCAGTCAGCTTGGGCCTGAGGGTAGGCACTGTAGGGGACAGCCATGACTATGGGCTTCCCAGCGTCAGTGACGTAGCTCTGGTCTGTGGTTTTTATCTGAGGCACAGCTGGAGGACGAGAAGAGACGTGTCAGACAAAAAAAGTTCAGGGCTCCGAATTTAAGAAAAACCAGACTGACAATCCATTTATTTTATCAGGCATTAGTTTCTTCAACTAGTTTATAACTAGTTGGATAAAAGCTCTTAGTTACAGTTTGTAGTTAACTAATAGCACTTTACTCCAACTAAAACTATAAACTATGAATTTCATCAAAACTAGTCATCTGTTGAACTCTGTAAAGAACCTCTGAACCAAACATGTAAACTAGGATGCAGGAGGTCCAAATCACTGGAGGGACTAGTTAAGACTCATCTGTACTTAACTAATAAACTAGTGTCAGTTTTGTGTTAAATTAGTAAAAATTTAGCAACCAGCTAGTATAAGAAAACTAATGAACCTGTTGACATAATGTCAGAATTTATTTTCAAGTTCTGAACTCGTCAGTGAGTTGTTAAACCTTTAACTAGTTAACCAGTAGCTGTACGCTGCCTTGTTAAGTAGTCAAGTATTAACAACCTGCTGGGTTTGAGTTTATTCAATAATGGAGTTATAAAATGTTCAATATTTGGACTAAACTAGTTACCAACAAACCTGTGAACTAGTTAGGTCCACAGTTAGTGATGTTTTGTCAAAAATTAAAGAGTGGAAAACCATTTCTCCAACACTTCAGACAATTTACCAAACACATGGATGGTTGGTTATCCTTTAACTAGTTGTGCTTTGGTGAACTGTTGTAACTTTGTACAACTAGTTAAACATTTAACATGTCAGGCTGACTGGTATGTTTGAGTTATTAAATAACTAGTGGTGAGCAGAAACTGAAAAGTGTTGGTTTTTATTAAAGTATTAGGATAAAAATGGTAACTGGTGCACTTTTTGTTGTTTAAACAGTCAATTTAATCCAAATACCAGTAAACAATTGTTGTGTAAATACACATAGACTGTCTCTCTCTCTGTCTGTTCTAGTCTCCTTCCTTTTGTTAGTTGGATCTTCTCAGACCTGGACCCTTACCTGCCAGTTCCAGCTTGGCCTTGGCATCCTTGTCCTTGACGATGACCCGGTACTCCCCCTGGTCTCTGGGTCTGATCTCACAGACCTGCAGCCGGTGTAGTTTCCCCTCGCTCATCATCTGGTACTTGTCTCCTTGGACGATCGTCATGTTGTTCCTCAACCACTTCACCTCCACCCGGTCCTTATTCAGTTCCACCTCGAACACTATGTCAGAGCCCGGAGGCTCGAACATGTCTTGTGGCGGTCGGATGATCTCCACCGGCGTCTCTGCGGGACAGAAGGACGGCGGTGAGGATCTCAAGACAGGAAGTGGGTCAAAGAAAAAGGAGGTTACGATCTCCTCACCTTCAACGAAGAGCCTGGCTCTGGACCTCTTCTCGTCCACGCCACAGGCATACTCACACTCATCGTCGGGTCTGCACTCTTTGATACGCAAAGTGCAAAACTTTCCATCCCTCTCAAAAGTGTATCTGTGAAAACATCCGGAAGGTTCAACTCAGTCAGGAGCTCCAACATGTTTCTGCTGTCAGATATGAACGAGGATGATGCTGACTGATGGATGAAGAACAAACTGACTTCACACAAACAACAAACAGCCCTATGGAAACAAGGGTCTCTTATTTTGAAAGGTCCCGAATTCACTGCAAGGAGAAAGTAGTCTGTTATCTAGGTGAGAAATTGTTTTTATTTATACAATCTGGGTTTGTTTTCAGCATTTCAGCACATTCCTGATCGGATGTTCAAATACGCAGTTAAAAAGCACCATGACCCAACTTAAAGAAGTCTTCTGACCCATGTTCATGTACTTTAGTCAAAGTATTTCTCTGTTCACATGTGTTGTTATAATGTAACCTGTGTTCAATGAATGCTGAGGACACGTCAGAGAAAGATCTAAAGGTGGCCTGCCGGTACCTTCGTTCAGATTTACTGTAGAAAAACTGTCCATCTCTGTTATGTGGTAATAAAATCCTGGTTTCTTGCTCAGAGTTCTTCCTATTTTAATATCTGTCCAAAAGTTGCTCAATTCTACGCTACACTTAGCTCCATAAACCGAATCTTGACTTATTGAAATCCAAACAAAGATGGGTTTTAACAAACCTGGGTCCTTCTCTGATCTCACGGCCATTCCTGTACCACTTCACTTCTGCCTTCTCCTTAGTCAGCTTGCACATGAACTCTGCATCGTCAAACTCAGTGATGGTCTGATCCTTGAGGTGAACGTTGAAGTCAGTCGGTGCCTCGCTGATGATCAGCTCCGCGGTGGACTTGTCATCTCCAGCCACGGCGGTGTACTCGCCCTCGTCGGCCAGCGTGCAGTCTTTGATGGTCAGCGTGTGCTTTTCTTTCTCCACTCTATAGACAATGCGTTTGCTGAGGACGATCTCCTCGCCAGCCTTCATCCACTTCAGAGTGGCGTTGGGTCTGTTGACCTTACAAGAAAAGCTGATGGTCTTCTTCTCCTGAGTGTCGATGTCCTCCAGAGGAACCACGATTCTCAGACTCTCCTCTGAACAAAAGAAAGTTCCAGAAAGGATTAGACATGTTCTTCACGTCTGACTGAGTGCTGTTACTGTGAAACACAGGGCCATTCAACAGGAAGTAGGTACTTAAATAATAAAAACGCTCAAATATAAACCCACAAAAGCAAAGTAATGACCAGAAATCTTGATTCACACATGGATTCTGTCTTTGAATCCTCTTCTTCTAGAGTCTATCGCCATCTTTCTAGGCTCTCTTCCATCTGCTCCTTACTCTCACTACAGATGTCATCAAGCATCCCAGTCCATGGAGACTCCTGCCTGACCTCACCTGTCCGTCACAGTTAGTTATTTTTAAATCATAGTGTTGGCAGGTGAGAAGCACCAACCTTTGACGGTGAGGCTGCAGGAGCTCTTGGCCTGTTCTCCTCTCTGATTCGTCAGGTTGATGCTGTAGTTGGCTTCGTCTCCCTTCTGGGCATCTTTGATCCTCAGGGAGAAGACGTTGTCTCTCTGGACCATGGTATACTTGCTGCTCTCAAACAGTGTCTCGTCGTTCTTCAGCCACTTGGCCTTGGCTCCATCTATGTTGACCTCGCAGTTCAGGACCACCTCCTGACCTTCTTTACTCTCCGTGTCCTTCAGAGGGGTGATGACCTTCAGTTTCTCTGCAAGAAGCAGCAGATGTTGATGAGGAGAAACAGCCTCAGTATGTCTGCATTTGAGGACTAACTGTGTGAGCGGAGCTTACCGTGCACCGTCAAGTCAGCGCCAGCTCTCGTGGCCCCGATCACCACCACGTAGCCGCCCTCGTCTTTGAGCTCGCAGTCCTTGATGACCAGAGTTCGCCTCTTGCCGTCGCTCACCATCTGGTACTTGTCTCCTGCCTCCAGCTCTTTGTCACCCTTCTTCCACTTCACCTCAAAGGTTTCCTTGCAGACGGAGCAGGTGAACTCTGCCTTCTGGCCCTCCACCACCTCCTGGTTCTGAGGCCTGGAGGTGAACTCAGCAGCCATTTCTGCAGACAGATAAATAAACTTGTAAGAATGGAAAGTCAGTTTTTGTGTGCTTCAGAAGTCTGATGATGCACAGAATCTGCAGCACCTCCAGAAACACTCAGGGTCCAGTTTTCCAGTCCTTACCATTGATCTGGAGGTTTCCTGAGGTTCTGATGGTGGGACTGAGCCTGCAGTTGTACTCTCCTGCGTCACTCATCTGCAGGTCCCGAATGAGGAGGATCCTCCTCTTGCCATCAACGATCTGGTCGTAGCGTCCTCCTTCAGGCAGCTCCTCGTCACCTTTGTACCAGATAACATCTGCGCTGGGCTTGGACACCTCACAGACCAGCCTCACGCTGTCCGTCTCCGTCCCCTCCACGTTGGACAGGTTCTTGGTGAACCTGGTCTCCTCCTCTGCAAAGACAGGAGCAGAAAGATGGGTCAGAACTCAAGATTTTTGTTCCTGCAGAGTTCACACATGCTTTATTCTAAATTCAGCTCATTTCTCAGTATTTAACAAGACGCTAAAAAGATTTAAAAATCAAGACCCTTTTATCTAAAACACTGTTTTTTTATTATTTTAATCAATGTTATGTTTATTCCCCACAGTAATGTATGATGTAATGGTCCTTGTGAATGCAGAATAACTTCATGTTTTTAATGTGTGAAGCTGATTCAGGTAACAATAAAACTCTTGATTTATTTATGTATGCTTTTAACAACCTATCTTAGTTCTATTTTAGATGTTACATTATCAAAAAATTAAGTTCATCCATGAGATAGCTGCTGAGACATTTGGTTTTTATAACTTTTATACTTGTCCTTGAAGTCTGCTTCAGCTACTAGTTTGTTTTTGTCTTCTTCGGCTATTGTTGGCTTTTAGTTACATTTCAGTTACTTTTAACATTTAGGCCACTTTTTCCTACGTGTAGCTTTTAGCTAGTGCCGTGCTGTTTTCAGCTTTCAGCTACTGATCTGACTTGTTTTAGTTTAAATAATCATAATCATAATACCTTAGAAAACAATTCAATATTGGTAAATAATCTAGACAAAATAATTTTGTTTTATGTTTAGATTTTAAACATTTGATGTGTTTCTGAGCAGCAGAACGTTAGCCTAGAACCAAAGCAGAACCAGACTGTTGTGGGTTCTGTTACTGCTCATCGCTGTGGGGTAGACTGCAGCTCTGATCATGTCACAGGTCTAAAGTCGGGACATGTCTCCATCTCTTGTTCTCAGACAAAGGCTTCGGTTCTTACCGACCACGGTGAGCATGCCGGAAGATTTGGAGGTCTTTGCGTCACATTCGTATTCAGCTTCATCATCAAACACAGACTTGTGGACGATCAGGATGTGTTGGCGGCCTTCAGCAAGAATTTCATATTTCTTTCCTTTTCTGATTTCACTTCCGTCTTTAAACCAGCGGACCTGCGGGACGACAACAGAGACAGGTTTTACCCAGAACTCGGCCTTCGGTCAACATGAACCAAAATAAAATGAAGGTGAGCTCACCTTGACGTCCTCTCTGGAAACTTCACATTCAAACCTGGCAGACTCCTTCTCTCTGACCTCCACATCATGGAGCGGCTTGGAGAACTCGACATGTGGAGCTGAATGCACCAAGAGAAAAATTCATCACTCAGTAAGATCCATTCATACCTCAACCCATCCTGTCCTGTCCGGGAGGGTTCAGGTACTGAAGCCATCGTTCTAATCTTTGGTTCTTTGGTATTTTTTAAGGTTTTCCCAAAGAGGGGATCCCATTTCTATTGTGTCTCCTACAGAGAGGGTGGGGGTTAAGTCTTAAAGGTTTTAAATTGGGTTTATATAAAGAGAGAAGAGACAAAGACTTGAAAAGAAATACAGTTTCATGGGCTTTCTATCAGCCAGATCTGTGTTCCTTCAACACTTACAGATGGTCCTAAGTGGTTGATGGGACCTCTGAGCTCCACTGAGGACATTCGATAACAGGGGTGTCCAGCCCTAGTTTTGGAGGGCCACTATCCTGCAGGTTATACCAGTTTCCTGCTCCAGCACACTTGATTCAATGGTTGAATGTTCTGCAGAAGTCTGATAATCACCCACTGATTCAGATTAGGTGTGCTGGAGCAGAGAAACATTCCAAACATGCAGGGTAGTGGTCCTCCAGGACCAGGACTGGACACCCCTTGTCTATAACCCTCTGTCTGAAATCAAGAACTCGTGTTGAGACATTTACACTAAACTAAAAACTGAATAATGACTCCAGATTTCTTAAAGAAGGTTTCTAGCTTTCATAGTGACAGTTTTATTCTTTACCTAATAGAAAGTTCTTCAAGATGTTACTGAACCTTTTTGATGAGCCTCTAAGCTCTTTTCTTCAAAGTGCTTCCTGTTTCTGAGACCACGCCTGGCATTTCTTAACCCTCATAATTTCAAAAGTTTCTGCGTGGACTTACGTTCTACGTTGAGGAAGCAGGAGGTCTTGAAGTCTTTGGCGTCACACATGTAAGTCCTCGAGTCGTCCATTGTGCACTCGTGGATGAGCAGTATCCTCTTGCGGCCATCGGCAATCACTTCGTACTTCTTGGTCTTGCGGATGTCCTGTCCGTCTCTGAACCACTGCACCTCCGCGTTCTCTCTGGAAATCTCACACTCAAGCGTTGCGGTGGACTCCTCCTCCACGGTCTGGTCCTCCAAAGGTTTGGTAAACTCCACCGGTGGCTCTGAACACAGACATTTAAAGTCAGTGTGTGAGTCTTTAAAGGTGTGAGCAGAACACAACAAATCAGGTTTTGTCTTACCTTTAACGAAGAGGCTGGCCTCCGCCTGGAACTCCTTGCTGGAGAGTGTGACCTGTCCAGCTTCACTCAGCTGGACGTCTCTCACGGTAACGCTGTGGACTTTCCCATCTGACTTCAGCACCACCTGAAGGTTCAACAGATCCAGTCACCAAAATATTTACCCTCCATGAGTACTGTCTGGCAGGTTTTTGTCTAATGAAGATCTGATCAAGTGCTAGCTGGTGTGTGCAGGTTTTTAGTTTTTCTTTTAAGTCGTATTTACAAACGTCGAGGGTGAAGAATCCCTGAGTGATGCCTCTCAGGTTAAACAGAGATAGAAATGTTGTTGTTGTTAAAACAGTTGCGCTGTCAGGGGAAACATGGTTTTACAAACTACACCTGTCTGAGATAATTAGGCCATGAAGGTGTTGTTTTTTCTATAAAACAACCCAACAAGATTATACGCTGCTTAGGGTTGTTCTAAAGTTTCAACAACGGGAAGTGGACCTCTTTATTTCAGAAGACATTTATTTTCTCGTCCAATGACTTTTCTCAATTTAAAAATGATGTAAAGGTCCAAACTTTTAAACGGCTGTGAAATGTGACCTTCATCTGTTGGTTTGGACTTTTGACATGCCAAACAGGAACAAACTCTCGGGGATTGTCAGGATGTACAACAAAACTGCTGGCATAGCCCTACAGAACCTCAGTGCCCTACACAAGGTGAGGTCAGTGAACAAGGCCAGGCTGATTCTGGCAGATCCTGATCACCACTCCATGGTGAGTTTAAGTTGTTTCCATCTGGACGCAGGTATCTGCTGCCCACATGTAGAAAGAACAGACTGAAAAACTCATTTATCCTTGTAGTGATCAGGCTTCTCAATGAACATTGATGACTTCTGTTATTTTAATGTCTCAATGTCTTGTCTAGTATGGGGTACCTACTGACTGTGAAACAAATTGCCCCTTGGGGATAATAAAGATTCTTGAATTGAACTTGTTCTGTTTTGTGCAAGCTAAACTCACATGCAAATCAATCTCCCACCCCTCTCTCCTCAGGATCTTTACAAGCAGTTAAATGCAGTTTTCAAAGCTTAGAACTTCATATCTTTCAGTGTGAACTGACAATGAGAGAAATGTCTCCAGAAATAGAGTCCGTCTTCATTCACACCTGCTGGGATTCACCTGACAGACATTACTGAGGGCAAACTGTAGCGTTTAGTTCCCTGAAGTTTGTCTGCTTCTTTAAAACTGGTCTCTCACAAAGGCTCATCTTTTTAAAGGGTTTACACATGTCTAACTGCCTTTAATTATACCACATATTGTGCCCTGGGTAAGGTTTGACAGGCTCCATAAGATGGTTTTAACTAGACCACTGCCTCCTGGTTTTTACCTGCTTAGTCTACCTGATCTCAGGCATCATTTCTCATGAAATTCAGTATTTAATCAGCCCTGAACTAGCAGAGAGACTGCAGCTCTTTGAATCTGTCAGCTGAGCTCTGACAGCTGAAACTAATACAGACAGCTGCTTTCCTTCCCCAATTTAAACTGCAGGACCTCTAACCTGCGACAGCTGATTTTTCCACACGTACTCTGCTTACACGAGCAGTCAGAGTACATGAACATGTTCCTGACAAGTCTGAACAATGATCTATTTTAAAAACATGAGTGAAAACATGTAACAGGATGTTTGATAAAACTGAGATGTTTGGTTTCTAAAAGCAGTAAAATCCATTGTGACTGATAACAAAAGTGACAGGAAGTAGTTTTAATGGCCTGTTAACTTTATACTCCTGTCAAAACTCAAATCTGTTGGATATTTGGACTCTTCTCTCTGGTTCTGGTGTGTTCCTGAACATTGAGTCAAATAAAGACCTTAAATATTGTCCATGTGCTGTAGATGCCTGCTGAATAATCTTTTAAGTGAATAAATTCAAACGTTCTTCTGCAGATAGCAGTGAGACAAGCTGCAGGTGATTTTCCTGACATTCAGCGAAATGTGTGAACTTCCTGTCATGCAATAATTCAGATCAAGTTTCCTGCTCAGGTTGTCTTACTTAATCCACAGGAGATAATTTGATTGGAAAAGCAGGAACCACACAGAACAGGACAGAAGACCTCGTGGTTCCAAACCAGACCCGGTACCACCTGCCCTGCTGCTCGGCCTCCTGGCTGCTGTTAAAAATAAACCCACGGAAACGCTTGTGGGGCAGAAAAACCTCCCTGCTTGCGTTATCTCAAAACCAGGATCGAATGCTCAGCTGGAATCCTGAACTCCACCTGCAGGACCTTATAAGAACAGACAGTAGCAGCAAAACCTGGGCCTGACTCTGGGCCAGAATCGGCACCGGACCTGAACTCTAAGTCTTGTGTTTCAGGAAGTGTGTCAGGTGTTTTGGGACTTACTCTGTCGCTCGGTTCCAGCTTTGTACCCCCCAGGAACCACTCAACAGCGATGCCTTCATATGACAGCTCGCACTCAAAGGTGGCGGTCTCCCCGGCGGTCACGGTCACATCCTTCAGAGGCTTCGCCAGGCCGATGACTCGGGCTTCGGATTGGGGAGAAGACATGATTAGTTCCCCACCTCAAACGGGCTGATAGATCCAAAAGAACCCCCACAAAGAAGCAGCAGATCCTCAGCGGCCAGGCCTCATGGTGTGGTTGAGGTGACAGCCGGCTGCAGGAAGCCCTGAGGACAACTGAAGTCCGCCACCCGGCAGCTTGGCACTGAAGCTACGTTCATTAGCATACGAGCCGGCGGCAGGCCAACACCGCCAGCAGAAACCAGTAAGACACGGGGTCATGACCTCCTCACTGCCAACCACTGAGGACCTGCTCTGGATAAGGTATGCGGGTTCTAAAATAACTGGGGGGCCTCCTGATTGGCCAACGGCCCATGTCTTCCAAAACCATGAGAGGAAGCCAGTCTGTCCCTGTCAATCATCTGCCTCTAATTTCCCTGGAAAAGGAGAAAGTGGAGCTCTGGGCAGGAGTTACGCAACGCCCCGCTGCAGAAAATGTTCACAGCTTGGTTTGTGCACGCCGACCTGCCACCAGGTCCAAGAAATTCTGGTACCTCGGAGCAAACGGAGCTGCTGGACGCAGTTTGAAGTATTTACAACGGGCTTCTTCACATGCCTGAATTAAAGGCTCTAACAGCGCCAGTGACAAGTAGCTGTTAATCTGACAGCTTTACGACCTTAATCTAAGCCATGAATTCATCCTGGGACTGAGAGGGTTCAACTCCACAAAGTCACAGTTTAATCACTGCTTGTTTATTCTTAACGTCTTTAAAACATTAGCTTCTGTCCGACAGACGTCACTGCTCTTTGAAGGCCAGAGGATGAACGACGTGTTCAGATGGAGGTTTTCAGAGTTTCTTACAGGTGACCTCCGATGTTTCCATCAGCTGTGGAAAAAGACCAATTAGATTTTTCTGTCTGACATTAAATCAGATGAAATCCAGTTTTGAGAGGGATAATATTTCATTACTTTCTGTAACGTTTCCATCCATGTCTCTGTTCTTGGTAGCACTTTCTTCAAACTGTCTGACTCGGGTCAAACGTTTTGGGTTTGACCTGGGGTGTCCCGTTCCTCCTGACAGAACCAGCAGACCTTCAGCTCAGTCCACAGATTTTCTCTTGGACTGAGGTCTGGACTTTGAGATGAAAAATCGACTCTGTCCTTCAGCCTCTCTGGAACTAATCTGTCCATATGCTGAGAGACATTTGAAGACTCGTGTCCAAGCTTTTCCTGCCTCGTGTCTTCAGGTGTTGCTTCAAAGTTTTCACAGAACGTTCTGTCCTCATGATGTCATCAGTCTACAGTAAAATATCCCCACATAATAATGCTGCCACCTCCGTACTTCACAGTTAGGACAATGTCCACAGCTTCTTTTTTCCTCCAAATCTAGATGGACATTATGACCAAATGGCTCACTTCTAGTCTCATCAGACCACAGGACGTTTCCAAATACAAAGGTCTTTGTCCCCATGTGGACAAACTGTAATCTGTCTTTTTTATGTTGTTTTGGGAGTAGTGTCTCCATTCTGTCAGTGTCCTTTCAGTCCATGTTGGTCCAGGACTCGTCTCACTGTGGACTCTCTGACCAGCTTCAGCAGCATCTTCATGAGATCTGCAGCTTTAGGCCCACATTTATCAAAAATGACACAGAACCCGTCTCCTTCGCGAGCGGTTCGATGGCGGGAGGTTCTCATGATGTTTACATACTCATGTAGAACTGATTGAACAGAGGAACGTGGACCCTTCAGGCTATTCAGGATATTGGACTCAGGGATGAACAAGGGTTGTGGAGGTGGATGATTCTCTTCCTGATGTCTTGACATCACCGTTTGGGCTTTCCCAGATCGTTTAAAGACAATGTAATCTTAGTGTATGTAAACCTGTGACTTTGAAGACAGAATAAAATATTCTCACATCGTTCAGATTTTTAACAGTTAGACTTCTGTGAATCCTAACTGACAGAAAACAAAAAGGTTTAATCTGATTTAATGTCAGACAGAGAGGAATAAAAGGTCCTGTCTCCTTTTATCCAGTGTATGTAAACATCTGAACCACCAGTACAGTAAATTTAAATAGCACCGTTTCAGAAAAATTGTCCGAAATCTTCAGAGTCTGACATCTGAACAAACATCTGATGCAAAGCAGTTTTATATAATATTAAAGATATACGTTAACTCTACCCTCACAGTCTTAAACTTTAACTTCCTGTCAGAAGAATGATGCAGACGCATTTCCTGTTTCATCTCCTCAGCTTCAGACTTCAACCCGCTCCACTAACACCAGGTCCAGTTCGACCCACTTCATGATGAATCCGTTCCTTCAACCCTTGAAGACGTCCTGACAGTGAGGACACCGAGTCATGAAGGCTTTCAGGTCTTATTTGATATGTAGGTGTTCAACGGTATGAGTCCATCTTTGTCACGTTGGGTTCCTCTGAAGGGGAGGGGTCAGAACTATTGACAGCAGTCTGGATCTTCCTCTTCAGCCCATTTCTTCTAACAAAGATCTGGAATCCTTGATCCAGGTTTTTTCTGTGTGATGTCTTAGCCCCAGATGGAGCCCAGACCCAGAGAAGTCAGTACCAACTCTGGTCCGGGTTAACATCAGTGACATTTGTGAAAGTACTGCTTTATTGTAGAACCTGACACATTTTTCACAAAGCTGTCCCAGGTCCATGAGGTTCTGTCAGCTGTTGATGTACTGGAGTGGGTCCATGTGGTTCTGCTCTGTAGAAAAGAAATCTGAAAATCTCTCCAGTCTTTATCCTGATCCATGCTCAATAATCCAGGAAGAAAGAAAATCTAACAAAGTCCAGTCAGGTCCTCAGGACGGTTTCTTTTATGTTGAGCATTCCTAATTACGGTACGCAGCCCCGTGCGCAACAAAAAGAAACCGCCCTGAGGACCAGGCTTAACTTGGTTAGACTCTCCAGTCTGTTTTTTAACAACTTTGATGAATTTCTCACACATTTTGTGTCAAACTGGAGATCCTCAGAGTGATTTTAGACTAATAATAATTATAATTAGTTGTTTGAAATATTAGCTTGACCTCTTAGTAGCCCTTATCGACCCATCCCAACTGTTTTTAGGGCTTGTAGAAGAGTAAATCCAGAAATGGGTGGTTAGTAAACCCAGTGAAGCTGATGAGACAGAACACATCTCTTGGCTTCATTGAGTCTGACAGAAAATACAAGAACTCTGGTTCAACAAGTTATATTAGATCCATGACTGAATATTTTTATATTCAGACTGTGCTGGATCGGAACATAGTCTCTAAAATGTAAAGCTATTTTAACAGTTGATATAAAAGTACCTATTCACCAATAATGAACAAAAACATAAAAATAAATCATTAAAGGCAGATTATTTTTTAGAGGAAAATACAATTAGAAAATCACATTAGACTTAAGCAAGTTTAACATTTTGTAATTTAACTTACAGTCTGAGTTTTATGATTAGACCCATACTACTCTGACTTTCATACAGTAAGCGCTGCCGTTTATAGTTTAACATAAAACACGGAGCTGTTAGTCCTAACAAAGATAACGAGAAGCAAAATGAAACAGTTCAGATAAATCTGGCTTTCACAGTGTTTCCTGCATGAAACTGAGTGTGGAACCTGGTTTAATAAGTCTAAACTGTGATTGTTTGTTTCACCTTTGACCCTGAGCTGAGCTGTAGATTTAGCGTTCGCTGCTGAGAAGTCGATGCTTCCAGCCATGTCCATCTTGCAGTTGTAGAGGGTCAGTGTGTGTCGGGCTCCTTCCTCCTTAATCTCCACATCCTGAAGACAAACATCCACAGTTCGGATCATCCAAACAAGAACAAGAACAAGAAAACGTGTTCACACTAACATCCAACCAAACACAATCAAAGAAACTGTGTCCATCAGAGCAACACATCTGGATAGTCTAAGCACAAGGCTCCACCCCCTTTTGGGCTTCAGCACAAAGCATAGTCTCTTTTAGAAAAAAACTACTTTGGTTGTAAATGGACTTCCTGAGATGTTTGTAAATAAAAGAGAGTTAAATAAGGCAATAATGTTGGTATGAAGATTTCCAAGGACCAAATATGTCAGGCAAACTATGTCTGTGCTGGTATTGCAACTTTTATTAATATAGGCTGAAATTTAGCTAATTAAAAGAACTGTTACCCAGTGGCCTGAGGTGTCATTGCAGACATGGTGAATGAATGAATGAATTTTATTTTAGACATATAAAACAAAACAAACTTTTCTGTTTCTGTCCAACTTATAGAACCTTCTGTATAAAAAATGAGCAGTTTGAAGTAAAACTTCTACTTCCTTACTCCTTACTAATAAAAATGGTATCATCTAAAAAATATATACAGTATTTAACCAGTCTTATTATTTATGTTGTCCGGGGCATCAGCCCATGGTTGGGTCTCCAATGGCAAACATGCCTCGGGGGAGGGTCAGACAAAGTGTTTCAAAACTCCCACCTATGGTCATGAGGTTTAGATCATGACCAAAAGAACGAAATACCGGATAAAAGCAGCCAAAATGGGCTTCCTTCGCAGGGATGCCGGGCTTATTTTTCGCATTAGGGTAAGGAGCTCCATCATCCAGGAGGAACTTCACCACTTGCTCTTGCCAAGATCGGACACTTTTCCCATCCCCTCCCTCTCCGCTTTGCTTGGCTGCTCTGTCTCTCTGTGAAACTGCTTGTGAGCCTCTCTTGCATTTCTTCCGAACCATAATTATGGACTTGTTTTGATCAGTTGGTCCCTCAACTCAATTTACAACATTTCTTCGAAGAGAAGACGGGCTTTAGGCGAGCCGGTTTGCCCTGTTGGCACGCACACAGCTGGATATCTCATCGACTTGGAAGACTTGATGATGTGTCTATCTCTGCTGCCATTTGTGGATTTTAAGGACGCATATTTAATTAGATTTACAATAACTGGTTCCTGCTTTTTGGATTCGGCTGGTTGCTGGTTTTATCGATCAATCAAGGAAGTCGTCGGCAGCAAATTTGGACCCGATCATGCTGCTTGCCTTTATGATGACTTGGTTCGTGCCTCGAGTACCCAGACTCAAATGCTTTGGGCAGAATGGATCAGATCTCGGGGATTTTACTCAGTCACGTTCCTTCAGTGTGGCCATGTAATTTGAACATTTCGGAACCAAGTGGACCAACACAGACTCAAGGTAGATGTCATTAAGTTCTGCCTGTCCCCAAAACAACTGTGTGTTTATTTGAATTTGGCTCCCTTGGCTGGCCTTGAAGGCCATCTTATCTGAATTTGCCTGGAGAACATGTGATCTGACGCTCACCACCCCCTCCCTGAGGAATTTCCAACTGATAACCAGATGAAACTAGCTAAATAAACATTGTGTCATCATTTCAGGACTCTTGGATTCTCATAGTCGTTATTCTTGTCCATTCCTCGACATACCTCGAGAATGTTTATGGATCTCACCGGAGGACATTGACTGATTATTACTTTATCAGAACTCTTACAGTGCCCTCGAGAGCATCTATGATCATGCTCACTGCTCTCGTTGTCCCCCTCTGCAGAATGTCTACATCACTATGTGCTTGTTTGTGCAAGGTGTTTTTTAATATCAGTGTTTTATTCTCAGGCAGGAAAAAAAAGTCTGATAGGAATTTTTTCGCCTCCAATTCCTACATGTGTCCAGTTTACCACTTTTATTGTCTGTCCAAACAGGTCTCACTTGTAAATGTCTTTGAGACTCAATGTGACTTATCTGTTTAAATAAAGGTTGAATGAATGAAAAAATTAGTCACAGCTCCTCCACAATGAAAGTAGTCAGTTGAGGTGGTTTGGGCATCTGACTATGCCTCCTGGCTTGCCTCCCTTTAGAGGTTTTCCAGGCAAGTCCCACTGGGAAGACCAAGAGGTCGCTGGAGGGATGGTGTATCTTTACTGGCTTGGGAATGCCTTGGAGTCCCCCAGAATGAGCTGGAAATGTCTCTGGGCCTGATTCAGTAATGAAGCCCAGAGACTAATTACAGACCTGTATCATTTTTCTGCCAGATCTCTAAACTTCTACAAGAGTCGGGCCCACTTATTAAGGTGGATTAACCACTTATAAGTGGTAGAAGATGGATGGTTTCAGACCCAGCACTCGCCACAGTGGGGCCCCACAGGTTATGTTTATGTGAAATGATTCCCAGATTTAAACTAACTGTTTTCTGTTTTAAATGTAACTTCTCAGTTTAGCATAATTTTGTACCGTTCAAGTTTATGTAAAATAAAAAAATACGATTAATGATGTTCAATGTTTTTTAAGTAACACTATACTCCAACTGAGCTGCATTGATGCTACTGATATAGATCTGTCTTCCCTAAAACCATACGGACAATCTGTCCGTATAGTATGTGTTTTAATGACGGCATTGAGCCTTTGAAAGAACAGTTTTTACACAAGTTTAGAGATTTGGCAGAAAAATGATACCAGCCTGTGAATAGTAAAATAGAATGATTTTTAACGTTTTCATTTAATGTAGAAATATAAATAGAATTTTTTCACACCTATGCTTTGCTTCATTAAGCACTTTGTCTGTTTTAGTTAGAGGGGAGTGGTGACGCAGAACTTAGAGGTGGGCCTGTGATTGGAAAGTTGCCAGTTCGACTCCCCAGACCAACAAAATCAAAATTTGGGTAGGAAAGGTGAAGCACCCACACCTGCATTTGCCTGACTCTGGGCCCTTGAGCAAGGCCCTTAACTCTTTTTTATCTGCTCCCCCGAGCAGATTGTAAAGCGAGCTATTTCACTGTAGCGGCCCCTGAAGAAGGGAGCAACCGAAAAAAGAAAAAATATATTTAAAAAAACACGTGTTTTAGTAAGCTGTCATGCGTGAAAAAGTTAACCAACTTAAGTTAACTAACATCCTTTACCAGATACTGCTCAAGAGTATATTTTACATTATTCAAAATATTTATGTTTAGTATGTCCTGATGCATGCTCAGTATACAGTATGTGTTCAATTTATATGTTCAGTGTGGTTAAAAAGTACTCCCAAACAAGTAAACTTTCTTTAGTAAAAGTGTAAGTAAATTCTGACTTCCACATAACTCATTTGTTTTTGTGTAGGTTTGACTTTTATACATAAAGACATAATTTCCTGCTGAACTGAAACAACAAACCTCTCCCTTAATTGACCTTCTCTGTCTTTGAAAGAGGTTAGTCAAGTTTCTCCACTTTGTTTGATTCTAAACAGCAATAGTTTTTCTTAAAGGAAACATGAAACTATTTGAACAACATGGCTGTTAGATTTCTGTTTGTGTTTACTGATGTTTCTGATGTTTTCAATATTGTCTTACAGCAGAGGAGTGGAGCGTCTCTCCCTTCAGTTTCCAGACGGCGTGGAGGTCGTCCTCAGAAATCTCCGTCTCAAAGGTGGCAGTCTCGGTCTCTGTCACCTCCACACTGTACAGCGGGCGGGTCACCTTGATATCACGCTCTGCAGAGGTGCAAACAGACATTAGAGGAGATCAAAGGGAGGCTGAATCTGACTGGACTCTCATCAGAGGGGGCAGTTTATGTTGGTGTGGATGGGACAACAGATAACCGAACACAGGAAATGGATATGAAGACAGGGGACAGGTTGGACACGTGGCTGTTGCTCTTATTTAGAACAACATACAATTTGCAAAAACCCAAAGACACAGTATCACTCAACAACCTGACACAAACAGTAAAACAGTACAGGACATAAAGATGGAAGATGACGAAGAGATGAACTGTAGTCCAGATGGAGGCGGGGTTTCAGTGGTGGGTGGAGCCAGATTCTGCAGTCCTGACAGGTTTTGTGGGAGGGATTACCTTCGATGTTCAGGTCTGCGGTGGTTTTGTCGGTGCCACAGTCGCAGGCGTATACTCCCATGTCTTTCTTGGCTGCCCTCTTGATGAGCAATGTGCGCTTCCTGCCATCAGACTGAAACAGAACGTTCCTGGATGGAAATATCTCGTTACCGTCTTTGAACCATTTGACCTCAGCGCCGGCCTTGCTCAGTTCACAGGACAAGAGCACCTCGTCCTTTTCGACAGCGGTGTAGTTCTGGAGTTTGACTGTGAAGTAGAGGTCGCCCTCTGCAAGCAGACACCCGTAAAAACTAAAGCTCAAACTATATAAAGAAAACTTTAAAGAAGAGGAAGTTTTCCTCTAAGAAGAACAGAGAACAGAGGTGAGTTTGAACATAAAACAGCAACATCCTGCTCAAAAACAATACTAACCAAGCACAATGAGCATGGCCTCTGATGTCTTCCCCATGGCCTCCACTTTAATCATGGAGGTGTCATCGATTGAGACCTCCTTGAAAGCCAGAGTGTGGACTTTTCGCTCCTCTGACATGTGCACCACCTTACTGGGGTGCAGCCGCACATCGTTTCTGTACCACACTACAGGTATCTTTTCATGAGAGAGTTCAACACTGAACTCTGCAGTTTCACGTTCCTTTACAGTCACGTCTTTAATCGGCTTGATAAACTCAAGACGAATACCTGGCAAAGAACACATTACATTTATGGGGACGTAAACACGAAATCGTTCCTGCGGGGAACGTCATCACGGTGATGATGTGTGCAAGAAACATCACAATCGGTAAAGATCGGACAAATTATGAAACGACAGTAGGTGAAGTCTTCTGTCTGTGCACATCAGTAAAACCCTGCAGCTGAACTGGACAGGAAACTTTAACATTGATATTTTCCCCAAATCAAAATTAAATATTTATGTTAGTTAGACTGATCTACCATTAAAAAAATATATTTAACATTTTCTTCTTGAAACTAAGAGAACTTCAGAAAAGGCTTTGACAAACGTCATCAAAGGTCAGTTTGTGCACGTGTCCTCATCAGACTGTCCCCGTGTGAAAAGACAAATAAAGATGCTCCAGCTGGTTTTACCTTTAATAACCAGTTTTGCAGACGTCCTCTTATCTTCAGCCTCAAACATGTATTTGGCTTCGTCTTCATATCGGGCAGATTTCACAATAAGAGCATGCCGATTGCCATCAGTCTGGATTTCAAACTTATCGTCGTTCGTTAACTCCTGAGCTCCCTTCAGCCAACGGAAACTTTTGGGTTCTCTAGAAACTTCCAGCTCAAACTTTGCCTCATCCTTTTCGTAAACGTGCATGTCAGCCAGTGGCGTAACAAATGAGACGGGAAGTTCTGTTGATTCAGACATACAGAGTTACTATCGAGCTCCAGCTCTCGGGTTCGAATCGGTACCAAAAACAGAACCCTGAAGTTCTAAAATGAATGGTATGAGGCGTTTGTATTCAACCCAATTCAAAGACTGTAAATTACTATTAGATGTTATTAACCCTAGTTATCTTTGCTTTATTTGAATTTGTTGCAATAAAAAGCAAACAAAAAATGTGAAAAGGAGTTGTGAGGAGCTCCATGTGAGCTGGGCTGGAAAAAGATGGAGGAGGGGTGAGGAAGGAGGAGCTCACCCTTCACTTTCAGGTTAGCAGAACACTTGGCGTTGGCGGCAGTGAACACCAGCTCGCCTGTCTGAGGAACTTTGCAGTTGTACAACACTAGGGTGTGTTTGGCGCCATCCTCCACAATCTCCACATCCTGCAGGTGGCCAGCAAACTTCAGCAATTTATCAAAAACACTCAGAGAAAACTGAGACGATTGTCAGGTCACAGAAGATTGGACTTGTTAAAAAAACGTGTCAGTTTAGGGTTACAGCTTTAAACAAAAGGTTAAAGAGGTACTTTATTGTGACGTACAGCAGATGGACTGAGGACTTCTCCATTTAGTTTCCACTGGCCATGGACATCGTCTTCACTGAGCTCGACCTCAAATCGAGAAGTCTCTCCTTCTAACACTTCAGAGCCATACATGGGCCGTACCACTTTGATGTGGCGAGCTAACGTTCAAGAGAGGGAACAGATTTCTTACTGAGAACACTTGGAAACCTAAATATATATGGAAAAGATGCATTGAAACCAGACAGACAAAACAATGATAGATGGTCAAAGAAGGAGTTGTTAAGAGTTTTTAATCCACAGGTCCTTCAACAGGGAGTAAGTAAACTGATACAGAACCATAAACAACCAAAGGGTCCAAACTGTGTTCATACAACTGGGAAGAACCTTTGACGACCCATTTGATTTTTTATGGAACCACTACACAGGCAATGAAGACAGATAAGAGAGTTTGGTAGAGTGTCCACCAACACATGGAACATAAAGACAACATTCAGACACAAGGTACAAAAGAACAACACTACACAACTGGTTCTTGAGTAATCCAGAGACTGCAGTGTGGCTCAACCATTTCAGGAGACAGAGACCACATGAGATGATGATTAAGAAGTGATGACAACAAAAAAGATGATAAAATGGACAAAGGTGAAGAAGAAGGTCTGAGAGGACATGAGGTGAAGTTAGAGGATGATGAGGATGGAAGCGTGCATCCAGGACGGATCAACCTTTGATGTCTTTACCTTCAATGTGAAGCTCTGCTGTTGTTTTATCTGTCCCACAGTCGCATACATACTGCCCTTTGTCTTTGTCCCCAACCTTCCTGATCACCAGGGTTCTGCGTTTGCCTTCGGCTTTAATGGCCACCGTCTTCGAGGCCTTGATTTCTGCCTCGTTGTGGTACCACATGACGTCTACGTCTTTGCTGAGCTCACAGTCTAGAATCACATTGTCTTTCTCCACTGCAGTATAGTCCTGCAGCTTGACTGTGAAGTAAGGATCTCCCTCTGAAAGGGGGACAATGTAGGTGACTCTCCAGTACACACGTAGGACACATGTATGGAACAACTGAGCACACAGTGAGGACAGATGAGGAAAGACCACATAAAAAGACAAAATGAAGTCCTTTTTGGACCTGAACAGACAAACATGGACATTCCGAACATAGAACTGTGGAGAAACCAGATGAAGAAGACAGAACAGGACAGGTTGTTGTTCTTGGATTACCTATAACCGTCAGGTTGGCCATGGAAGGAACTCCTTTGGCCTCGGCTTTAATTTGGCAGATATCATCTAGAGTCACATCCTTTATTTCTAGCACATGTCTCTTTCCGTCCACGTGGGCGACGACAGTTCGGCTCGGATGGATTTTAACATCGTTCTTGAACCAGTTGACAGGGATGTTGTCGTGGGAAAGCTCCAGCTCAAAACGAGCTGTTTGACCCTCCTTTACAGTTTGGTCCTTTAGCGGTGAGATAAATTTGAGTCTGATACCTATAATCGTGTTAGTAAAACATGTCCATATGAGATAACCCTCTCAGAGAATATACTCAGAAATGTTCCACCGTTTGTACCGGGAACGGCAGTCCAGAACTTACCCTCCACCACGAGTCTAGCTGTTGAAGTTTTGCCCAAAACTTCAATGGTATATTCATCCTCATCATCAAACTCACAGCAGTTTATGACCAACATGTGCTTCTTTCCATCATCGATGATGTCATACTTTTGGTCAGGGGTAATTATGTCAGCCCCTCTGTACCACATGACCTTAGAGACATCCTTCGTGATGGAGCATTCAAACTTGGCCTGTTTCTTTTCAGGCACACACACGTCCTTCAGCGGGACAACAAAATCCATTTCGATCTCTGGTTGAAGGACATCACAGGGACAACACAACAATAACAACAAACAACAAAACAGTTAACAGTGAGAGGCCAGTTTAGTTGGTACTACATCCTATCTCATCCTGTAAGAAGGACAGCAGCTGTGTTGGAGAGATCTTCAGGTAAAGCGAAGGAACTCAGTCTGCATTGATGGAAGACATTCAAGCACTTGAGTTGAAGGTAGGACATCTTCACCACCCTGTCCAGCTGGGATCAAGTTGTCTGCAGCAAACCTTCACTCTTCAGGCTAACCTTTTCCTTTTGGATGTGATGAGAAGCATCAGTCTTCTGCTGCTCTCCAAACATTAAATCAAATTATTTCTAAATATTTTCTTCTTTTTGTGCTAAAACTAAAGCAATGTGACCTCTTATCCTGATGCATGCTCAATAATCCTGGTAGAAAAATCTAAAAAAGGTAAATCTGGTCCTCTGGACATTCAAAAAACAAAACTAACCAAACTAAATGTGACCTCTTGTAACCCAAACCCTGGTGAAACAAAGAGACACTTACATGCAAAAACCAGACAGCTTTACACATTCCATAAAGAAGACGAACAGATCAACAAACAACACACTCAGTGGGGAAAAATAAGATCCCACATCAAATTTCCTTCTTGTTCTCCAAGGAAGCACAAAGTGGCACAAACTTTGCCATCCCTGGGAAATAAAAACCTATGGTCTGCTTTCACATTGCTTTATTATGTTATTTGGTTCTCAACAGACCTTAGGCTTTTATTCCCAAAGTTAACATCCACAAATCCAGGGTTTTACTGGGAACCTGGGGAATCTCTTACCTCTGACATTCAACATGGCGGTTGTGATTGCGTTCAGAGCCTGGTAAGAAACTTCACCGGCGTGATCCAGCTGGCAGTTTTTCAGCGCAAGTCTGCGCACCGTGCCCTCCATTTGGATGTCACAGGTCTGATGATTACATTACATAAATGTTTAAACGATAATGGATATTAACAGGCTAATGCGCACAGGGAAACTTTATGAAAGCGCACTGTTCTTACCGGAGACCTGGTCAAAACCTCTCCTTTGAGTTTCCATTCCCCTGGAACATCGTCCTCAGATATCTCTGTCTCAAATGTGGCATCTTGCTTCTCTACCACCTCAACACTGGCCAGGGGCTTCAGGATCTGAGCCTCCCGCTCTGCAAACAAATATTAGTGCAGGGAAATAAAACACTGCTGCAAAATAAACTGTAGAAACCATTAGAAAAACTACAGTGAAAGGGAATATAACCTCCTAGAGTTAGCTTGGCCATGTAGACACGTCCTTCCACTTCCATGGCGTAGTCTGCTACATCGTCTGGCTGACAGTTCTTGATGGTCAGAGTCAGCTCCTTCCCTTCCTTCTTGATCTCAACCTTGTCAGACGGAGTGACCTCGTTCTCTCCCTTGAGCCACTTCCAGTTGGGAGTGTCTCTGAAGAGCTCACATTTAAACGTAGCTGTGGCCTTTGGTTTCACATGCTGGTCTTTAAGTGGCCTCACAATCCAGTCTTTGATAATCTCTGTTGGAGTTAAACATCACAGTCACATGTTCAATCAGGCAGCTTGGTAAATGTTGGAAGAGAATCAGCCACGTTCAAAGTGACATTTTTTTGTCCACTTTGGTAAAGTAAATGTTTTGTGTAACTGGTGGTAAATTCCTAACATTATTTCCAAAAATACCTATTTAGAGGCTAAAAACACATTATATTATGTTTTGTTTTTGTGTATTTACGAGAAAATACATTTGTAAAAAATATGATCTTTGATTTAAGTTGTTTTGTTGGTGATTCCAATGTTCAGTGACCAAGTGAGTTTTGGTCACAAGGGTTTTCTCATGTCAATGTTTGCTTGTCCAAGATTTTACCCAAATGTATCTTTGTACCTCCTGATTGCACTTGGATTAACTGGAAGTATAGCAGTAATGAAATGTTTCTTGAAATAATAGATTGATTAATAATCACTTAATAATAGATCACTTAATAATAGTCTGTATGGGTTTGGTGGAAGACCATGACTTCTTTAGAACATGAAACTGTGCTAAAATGATGTCCCACATGAAGCTTTTGTGGAATTTTAAGCTAACAATTGTATCTTTGTGTGCATATTTTGTTTTTTTGCTATATACAACATCTCCGACTACTGTCAGAGTTTTGTACAAGTATTTTCTGTGGGTTTGGACAATAAAAGAATGAAGTATAAATAGCTACACCGGTCCTAGTCCTCAGTGGACATTTCCTGTATGTTTCAGTTGTTCCCCTGAAACATACAAGATACTCTTATTCTTATGCAGTTTTATGCTTAAAACTTCACAACCTCCAGTTTTGAATAGAGGAAGGAGAAACATTTTAAACTGCGAAATAGAAGTCCAGTTGTTTTGATTTGACTGTTTTGGGGGGGAGAGATTCTTCATGTGGTCAACAAATTGTGCTGAAGAATGATCATCAACAATTCATTCAAATCCAACAATGTTCAGTCAGGTCATCTGGACAGTTAATTTTTTTGTTGAGACTTTTTGCCCTCTATCCGAAGGGCTTCATCAGGCACCAGACTTCTGACTTCTCCACCAGACACGTGACTTCTCAGACTGATGAAGCCCTTTGGATGGAGGGTGAAACGTCTCTCAACAAAAAAAAAGAAAATGTCCAGATGACCTGACTGAACATTGTTGGCCTTGAAATTCATTCAAATCAGGTGAGTTGAAACAGAGACATCTAAAACTGGAAGGATGGATGGATGGATGGATGGATGGAACCTGGGTAATATCCAAGTAGAGAACAGACTGGCTTTAGGTTTAAGACATATGGTGGTTTATGTCTTACCGATCACTTTGAGGTTTGTAGACGTCTTGACGTCTTCCTGTTCGGACACTTCACAGGAGTAACAACCAGCATCTTCCTCTGAGGAACTCTGGATGGTCACGGCATGCTGCATGCCAATGATGTTGATCTGGATCTTGCCCTCTTTCTTCTTCAGGACTTGGCCGTCCTTCCTCCAGACCACATCTTTCTCTTTGTTCAGCTCACAGGTCATGTAGATTGCCTGGCCCTTTATTGCTGATGTCTCCTCTTCCAGCTCTTTGATCCATTTAACAGGAAGCTCTGTGAGAAGATGCAAAGAAAAGAGCCATTTTATTTGGGTGTAAGTTAAGTAAAGTAGCATTTTTAGAATTGATAAAAGTAAAAAATAAATGTACCTTCAACTATGAGCTTGGCAGTGCATGAAATCTCCTTGCCAGCGTTCTTAGCCACGCAGGTGTATTCACCAGTGTCAGACAGCTGGACATCAATGATCTGCAGCTTACGATCTTTACCATCAGAAGTGAACTTGTGTTTGGGACTTTCGCGCAGGTTACCGCCATCTTTCATCCAGGAAGTGACGGCAGTGGACGGAGAGACCTCACACTCGAACACAGCAGAAGATCCAATGGATTCGGCTTCCTGCAGCACAATGTCCTGAAGCTTCTTGATGAACTTCAGGGGGACAGCTTTGAGTTTGAAGCCTGCAAACGGTTCCTCTGGAGGAGGTGGACCCTTGCCACCAGGCCTCAGGCCACGACCTCTGCCCTCTCCGGGGGAAGGGGTCTGCTTGGCTGGAATACGATTAAAAGACAATCAGTCACAACTCTGACACAGGAACTGGAGAACATTTGTTTTTGTGAAGAGTATATTTTGACACTTACGTCTGAGGCCTCTGCCTCGCCCTCTTCCTGCTTCCTCTGCTGGTTGTCCCTCTGTTCAAAAGCAACCAGTTAATTCTTTCATTCTCATCATGTATTCATAAACAGTCACAGACGACACGTCATTGACATTTTATGGATTTGAATATGTGAAATGATATTCATGAAATAATGACAGTAAAATGAAAATGGGCAGAAGCAACACGATGAATGAATGAATACATCTGGACAGCTTTCATTAGGAGACAGACATGAAAGTAAAAATGACATGAGTGGATGAACACACGTTGGGTGGATGAGACAGTGATCACTCGGAAATGACAGACAGATGATTTAACATTGATGCCAGAAAGAGATGAAGATGACTGACACAAAGAATGATAATGAAAGAACAATGGTGTAAATCACATCACAGTGAACCATGGTGAAGTGGAGATGGAGCAATGTATTGAAACAGGATGGAGATGATTCAAGCTATGAAGGGATGATGTTTCTTGGTCACCACTTGGATAATCCACCATCTCACCTCTCCTGGTCACCCCTGGAACCTCCAGAGCCCCTTCTTCTTCTTCACCTTCCCAGTCCTCAGAGCCATAACTGTCCCGAGGAACCAGCTCCCAGCCCCACGCCTCCTCTTCCTCCAGCTCAGCCTCTTCCTCAGCTTTGAACTCCTCTTCAAACACCTCCTCCTCAGGATGGGTGGAAACCTTTTTCATCTGTACGGCTCCAGGAGAGACCTCCTTAGCTAGGGGAACTTTTCCTTTATCGGGCTTTGCTGGTTCTTCAGCCTTCGGTTCTTCTGGTGATGGCTTCTTTGGAGCTTTTTTAAGAGTCACAGCTTCAATCGAGTCTTTAGGTGAGACAGTCTTTGGAACCCTTTTGAGTTTCTCCACACTTGGCCTCCTCTCAGCTGAGCCTGCCTCCAGTTCTTTGAGCTTTTCAACTTTAGGAGATGGTGTTTTCTTGAGCTCTACCTTCTTGAGTTGTTCCACTGGCTTCAGAGCCACTTCCTCTTTCTCCTCTTTCTTCTTGGGTACGACCCCTTTCTTAAGCTCCGGGCGTTTGGGCTCCTCGTCTATCTTGTCAGGTTTCTTAACAGAGACTGGAACAGGAGTAGGCCTCTCTACTGGAACTTCTTCTACCTCCTTTGGTTTCTCTGGCTTTTTCTCTGGCACCTCTGGGACCTCAGATTTCTTCAGCTTAGCTTCTGGCTCTTTTGCTTTTGTTTTTTCAACAGGACTTCTGCTACGACGCTGAAGGTCATCAGATGGTTTCGTCTCTTTCTTTTCTAATGGTTTTTTCTCAGGCTCTGCAGCTTCTTTTGAAGGTTTAGAGACGGGCTTCAGCTTGACAGCCCCCTTCTCTTGTTCAGCTGTTGGAATTTTCTTCACTTTGGTGGGTCCTTTTACCTCCTCAGGCTCCTTCTCTGGAGTTTTCTTCTTATCTACTGGCTTAGGCACTTTGGGAGGGGGCTCCTTTATCTCAGGAAGTGGCTCGTCAGGTTTCTTTGAAGGTTCCTTAGCTTCCACGTCTCTGGGGATCCGCTCTCCCTTCTGGAAAGAAATGGTGTCTCTGTCGGGCCTCTCCTTCTTATCTTTCTCTGGTTCCTCTGATGGTTTTTGTGGCTTCTCAAAAGGTTTCAGTTTGACCACTTCCGGTTCAGCTTCAGCTAAAGGCAACTTTTTTACTTTTTTCAGGGCTGAATCAGGAAGGGCAGGTTCTGCTTCCTTTAGTGATTTTGGAGTTTTCTTTAGAGAAATCTTGTCTTCTGGTTTTTCATCTTTAGGTGTGGGTTTCTGGCGAGTCCATGCATCTTTAGGAGCTTCTTTTTCTTCCCGCGGTTTAGGTTGAACAACTTCTGGCTTTTTCACCACCTCAGCTTTGTCTCGAGACTTCCTCTCCTCTACGGTCCTCCTGGTGACCACTGATATCTCAACATCCTCCTCTTCATGCACCATTTCCTCGGCATGAAAAAGAGTGGTTTGGGTGACCTTCTGAGGCTTTTTCTCCTCTTCAGGTTCTTTAGATGGAACTGATGGGATCTTCTTTAGTGTGATGACCTCATGTTCTTCTTCCACTTCTCTCATGATGCGAGTTGCTTTCTTTAAGGTAGGAATCTCAAAAGTCCCATCCTCTTCCACACCAATTTTACCCTTTTTGTGCAGAACTGGTTCTGAGGCAGCAAAAGTCTGGCATTACTTATTAACACTTGACTGACATGGAAATTACACAAACACGGACAGAAAACACACAAATACACCAAATGCATAAATACAAAGGAAGAAATCTTTGGAGTCTAACGCATTCAGTTTAAACTATATCCCATGAGTCAAACTTTCATTTTAATAAACTCCAAATCTGAAAGGTTTAGTTAGAAAAGCATTACAAACATTTAACAAAACAAACACCAAGAAGTGTTTGGATCAAATGAGTTGAATAATCAAATGAGTTGAATAATGCAAAATTTTTAAACATGAAAAATGCAAAACCAAACATTTCTTTACATCTAGTTGAGGCTAGTGCTGGGAAATGACATTTGGTATTGGATAAAGGGCTTGTCATGGGTGTTTTAAAGTGTGATTTATGACACGTTTGTCTTGCCATACACCACCTCTCGTCTCTCCAACAGAGGTACGCACAAGTACAATTCCCCACAGCTGTTCTGAATCAAATGGGTCTGAGTTTGATGCAGTCATTTTTGCTTTGCTTTAGAGTTGAGTGCTTTACACAGGACCTTCTGCTCATTTTTTGTCCTGGATGTTAGCGCAAAGCTGTTGAAAAACCATGCATGTTCCAAACCTGTGGCCAGCATTTTCTTCCCTGACGGTTGTACCATGACGGTTCAGTACAAAGACCCGTACCATTACACCCCTAGCCAACAGTGTACAGCTGCTGTTAATTGTGTGCTCCGAGCTAATTGTAGTTTTACCTTTCTGAACTCCTCCTGGTGCCTGGACCGGTCCCTTGGTTTCATCTAATGCAAAAATACAGTTCAGAAAGTATGAAGTTAGTTATCTCTGACAACATACACAGTTTAACAAGAAGAGGTGATAAAATCTGAAGCTTCACAGGGGGACATCTGTGATCACGACAGAGCGTGGTTAAAAACCAGCTGGATGATATGAAGAAAGCCTGTTAAAACCAGGAGGAGCTGTGATCAAGTTTAGCTGGAGGCATGCTTTGGATTACAGATGTTCAAAGAGAGAAGAACACGAGCACAGCAAAGAGGGACTGCACAGGTCAAAGGTCAAACTGACCCACATTAGTAAAGACATCTGCAGAGATATAAGAAGATATAAAAAAAGATGGAGGCATTTAGTGACCTTTACCTGGAACTGAAGGAATTGTTTCCACCACAACTGGTTTCTTCTCTTCTGGAGCCACTTTGATCGGTTCTTCGGGCTTAACGGTAGGTTGTGGCTTTGTCACTTCAGTTATGGTATAAAAAAGAAGATTAACCTAAACGTCTGTAAACTTTTACTAGAAGAAACATTCTTTCTGTTGTATTGCTGTCTGGATACCTGGCTTTGTTTCTTCGTGTGGAACCATTGGTTTTTCAAAGACTTTGGGTTCTTTTGCATCTTCAGGAACTTTTACAGCAGCTTGTGGTTAAAAGTACAGAAGGAAATCACCACAAAGACCTCAACAACCGGTTCATCTGAGAGCCTGAAGCTCAAAAAACAGATCTCATGCTGTCAGTCTATGTTTAAGACCACATACTTTCGAGTTATTTTGGTTTCCTTTGATTAAGATATTAAACAAAAGGAAGATGTTATAAAGTTTTCAAGATTTAGATTTAATTAAGAGTGCATTCTTTCACGAATGTCTTCACTAAGACAAATAAGAAGCCGTGTACCTTCTTTAGGAGCGGCTGGCCTTGTTTCTTTGACCTGCGGTGGAGGCTCCTTCTCCTTTTCAACAACTTAGAGATAAAACAGGACAGTCAGACCCACATAGACTGAACACTGAACCACTCACACACAGATATAAAGAAAACACAGCTGGAGGACCAAACAACCTCACCTGGCTGTTACCTAGAATACATGGCTGACACGACAAACACAGAATTAGAAAAATGGTGAAGAAAAATCCAACACAAACTGTGCCGGTTTAGATATTCAATGGAACTGAAAGAACAACGGCTTGTCACAGTGACGACAGTTTGTGCCCAAACAGAATGGGTGACATGACATGAAGAACCCCTGAAACGATGACGACGGACCTGTGGATTCCACAGGATGGTGCGATTTGGTGCTCAGATCAGAAACGTGCTCAGTGACAGATTCCCCCTCTGTACCTCTGGAAGCTTCCTGAAAGAAGAGACCTTCTCTTCTTGACGCAATCTGCTGGTCTTCTGGTTTTACAGATTTGTGTTCTTGAAGAGGTATGGGTCGACTACGATCTGATTCTTGCATATGGTCAGATTCTTGGATATGGTCTAGTTTTTGAGGAAGTCTGGGTCGGGTATGGTATGACTCTTGGATAAGGTCTGACTCTTGAGAAGGTCTGAGTCGGCTATGGTCAGAGTTTTGGACATGGTCAGATCCCTGTGTCATGCCGACAACTGGTGATGGATCAGTTCTGTAAACAGAAGTTCTGACTTTGGGTGGATCTGTTAATGAAGGCTTTGATACTGAAGGCTCCGATACTGAAGGCTCTGATACCAAACAATATGATAGTGAAGGCTCTGTTATTGAATATTCTGTTACTAAAGACTCAGTAATAGAAAGCTCTGTCACTGAATGCTCTGTAATTGAAGGCTCTGTTACTGAAGGCTCTGATACTAAAGGCTCTGCTACTGAAGGCTCTGTTACTGAAGGCACTGTCACTGAAGGTTCTGTCACTGAATGTTCTGTTATTGAAGGCTCTGTTACTGAAGGCTCTGTTATTGAAGTCTCTGATACTGAAGGCTCTGATACTGAAGTATCTGATACTGAATGTTCTGTTACTGAAGGCTTTGTTACTGAAGTATCTGATACAGAAAGCTCTGTTACTAAAGTGTCTGATACTGAATGCTCTGATGCTGAAAGTTTTGTTACTGAAGGATCTGATACTGAAGGCTCTGTCACT